CGGGCGCCGCCTCCTCCTCCCCGCCCGCCCGGCTCTCCACCCTCGCTCGCTCCCCGCACACAGCCCGCCCTCCCCTGGTAATTCTTCTCTCCCTCCTCTCCCTCTCTCTGCAGCTGCAGGGGGAGCCGAGCCTCTCAGCAAAAACGACATTTCCTTTTTGACCAGCCCCAGGGATTCTGGGTAGTGTAGTTCTGCTCCTGTCTCTGGTCCTGGGGGGCTCTGCTCCCCGTGCGTGTCCTTTGAACTCTGCCGGCTGGAGGCTTGGCAGGGCTCAGAGCATATGACAGGATCTGCACTACCCTGGGGACCCTAGCCGCGGGGGACAATGGCTGAGTGGAGACATCTCAGTCTGGGTGCTCCAGCTTGAGGTTGAGGGAGAGGAGAGAGAAGTTTGGGGAGAAGTTGGTTCCTGCTGGTCTGCAGCACCCTGACAGGTGGTCCTGCAGAGCCCACCGTGTGGCAAAAGCTGGTCAAGCCTCCTTCCTCGCCCAGTGTAGGCAGGCCTCCTGGGTGTGCTTCACAGAGCCCAAGGCCCGGCTCCAGCAGGTGTCCAGCTGACAACGGGTCACAGAGGCTCAGAGGAACTGGAATTTGGCCGGCGGTTGGAGAGCTCTGGCTTTTCCTAAGTAGCTTCACAATGGAGGCACCCAGCCCCTTGCAGCTACCTGGGGGAAGAGCCAATGGTTTGTGACATCAGGAGACAGGCAGCACACGAAAGCCATGTTGCCACCCTCCCCCACCCTGACTTCCAAAGGTGCCCACACCGGGCACAGGGTGGGTGGTTCTGGTCAAAGCCAGAGCAGGTGCATGCCAAGGCGGGGCTAGAGGGGGCAGGGCCCCAGACACTTGGAGGTCCCATCTTCGCGTGGTGAACAGCCAGGCCGAGGGGCCCCTCACGGCAGTCCCAGAGCAGGAGACGGCCAGCCAAGGAGGATACTGCCTCTGGCCCAGCCACATCCTCATCCTGAGCACTGCCATCGACCCTTGTCCCTGGCCCGGCGAATTGTCCTTTACTGCTTTGGCGATAGCTGAGGGGCAGCCCTTTTGGCTTCTCTCGGCAGCAGGCCCAGGCAGTGTCCCTCCATGGCCCTGTTTTCCGGGCTCTGAGCTGGGAGCAGCTGCCCCCAGGGCCAGCCCTGACAGACGTCTGGATGGGCTCAGCTCATAGGTACATTCCTGTCCTCTGAAATGCCCCCCAAGGTTCTAGTCCTTTCTCCCGCTCTCAGGCCCCTTGGGTCCTCCCGCCTCTCCTTGCAGCCTTTGCTCCGGTTCAGCGTTTTCAGAGCTTGGTGGGTGTTGGGCTGAGACCCACAGCAGTGTGCGGAAGCCTTGTGCAGCATCCATGCGCGGGAGAAGTGCTGGAGTCTGCAAACCGAGGACCTCTGGCTGGGATGTGCCCCACACTATGGGGGCCCTTGGTGCTCTCAGCCCCGTCCCTTTCCCTGGGTTCAGTCTCCCAGACGCCTCAGCGCAGATGTCACCAGCAAATGAGAAAAGACAGGTCACCATGCGTGGCCTGGTGCTGAACCTCCCAGTGGGGAGCTTGAAGTGTCAATGGGAAGACAAGGTCCCACAGTTCCTGCTGCTTTGGCCCAGAGAAAAACCCGAAGCCACACAGCAGGTCAGCCCCTGCCAGCTGGGCCTCACCACAGCCCGAGACAGCCCCAGTGCCGCCTCGTTTGCAGAAAGCCTGGTGCTGCGTCCCTTCACTGAGTGTCACTGTGAGCCAGGGGCTTCTACAGGTCATCTTCGAGTCTTCCCGCAATGACCCCAGGAGCAGGCTCTGTCACCGTCCCGTTCTGTAGAGGAATACGCTGTGGCCTGCTGAAGAGGGAGGGGCAGACGGGACAGCCGTGTGGTTCTGAGACACCCAGGCCGAGGCCGACCAGCGGGCGTCCTCACCAGTGTCCTCAAGTCCCAGACCAGGATTCGGTGCCCACAGGAGAGAGCCCTGAGGCTCCAGTCTCCTGAGCAGGTGTGCACTGGAGACCAGGGCTGTCCTCCGAGGCGGGGTCATCTATCCCGCAGTGCCGGAAGGCTTTCATTGTGCAGTAGGAAGTGTTAAATGCTGGAATTCTGTTGCCCGGGGAGACCCGGTTCTCTCAACTGTTTGGGCCCTACAGAAAGCCAATGGCAAGGCTTGGAATGCCCACCTGGAGACAGGCTGGTGGGGGCGGTCACGGGACAGATCCAGGTGCAGGGTCTCCTCTGCATCCCTGCTCAGCTCACCTGTGCAGCACAGGCTGGCCCTGGTCAGGGGAGTCGGGACCAGATCTCAGAGACGGCTGGTTCCACAGCTTCCTCTGCAGGTGGGAACAGGGGCCCAGGGAAGGCTCTGAATCCAGACCCATCTCCCAGCCCCAACTTGATGACGTCACGCCCCACTCAGGGTCAGCCGCATGGCCTGGCAGGTCTGGCGGTGGTACAGGAGTAAACCCACGGAAGGTCACCAGTTCATACCCAGAGACCTCCCTGAGGATGCAGGCTCGGGTGAGATTCAGAGCTGGCCGAGGCGGGGCATGGAGTGAGGTGTCAAGACTGTCGGGAATCCAGCAGATAGCCTAGTGGTTATGTGGCTGGACTCCCACATAGTCGACCACGGTTCGAGTTTCAGACCAGGAGGCTTCAAACTCATGCCAGGTGCAAATGTGTGCGTGCCCAAAATCCTGAGAGGAGAATAGAAGAAGAGGGATTGTGGTGTGGCCATCCCCCAGGGGGGTAATTTTTCACTTTTTGTCTCTGGTGAATGCACACGCTCTATAATGAAAATCTCTCTAAAAAAAAGGACTGTGGATTCGCCATAGGGCACTCTCTCTCTCTCTCTCTCACACACACACACACACACACACACACACTTATGGAATAAATGATTTTTTGTTTTTTAGGGGTTTTTTGGAGAGGTTTTTGCTATAGAGCACATGTGCTCACCAGAAAGACAGACAGAGAGACAGAGAGACAGACAGTAAGAAATCACCCTCCTGGGAGGGATGGCCATGCCGCAATCCCTTCTCCTCCATTCTCTCGGGATCTTGGGCACGCACGCACACGCGCCTGGAGTGAGTTTAAGCCACCGGGTCCAGGACTCAAACCGCAGTCAACTACATGGGAGTCCAGCGACATAGCCGTTACGCTAACTGCTGGTCCTGGAATAAATAGATGTTGATGTGACCAAAAATCTGGAAGCTTGGGCCATTCCTCCCAAAGGTTCAGAAGCACATTTCTTATTATTATTAAGAATTATTTTATTTAACTTTATTTATTTTAATTTGACCAGAGAGGGA